ATTTTCTTCATATGCGTTTGTAGGGATATAAATTCCCCTCTTACTACAGCTTTCATGGCTTCCCAGAGATTTTTGTAAGATGCTTCCTCATTTTCATTTGTTTACAGGTATCTTTTGATTTCTGTTTTGATTTCATCATTGACCCAGTTGTTTAGCATCATGCTGTTTAGTGTCCATGTCTTTGTGGGTTTTGGTGGGAACTTGTTGGTGTTAATGTTTATTTTTATTCCACTGTGGTCCGAGAAGGTGCATGGTAAAATTTCGGTCCTTTTAAATTTGCTTATGCTTCTTTTATGGCCAAGTATGTGGTTGGTCTTAGAATATGTTCCATGTGGTGATGAGTAGAATGTGTATTCTGTGGTCTTTGGATGGAGTGTTCTGTAGGTATCAGTTAAGTTCATTTGGTCAAGATTCACATTGAGGTTCCGGATCTCATTGCTGATTTTTTGTCCTGATGATCTGTGTAGGGTTGTGAGTGGGGTCTTAAAGTCCCCAGTTATGATGGTGTTAGATTCAGTATCTTTCTTTAGTTTTCCTAGAAGTTGCTTTATGAAAGTTGGTGTACCTATGTTGGGTGCATATATGTTTAAGACAGATATTTCTTGTTGGTGGAGTGAACCTTTTATCATTATGTAATGACCCTCTGTATCTTTTTAAATTTTTGATAGCTTAAATGGTATTTTGTCTGAAATTAAGATCATGACACCTTCTTTCTTTTGTGTTCCATTCGCCTGAAAATTTGTTTCCCATCCTCTTACTTTGAGTCTGTGTATGTCCTTTCTAGTGAGATGTGTCTCTTGAAGTTAGTATATTGTTGCCTGGTGGTATTTTATCCATTTTGTCATTCTATGTCTTTTCAATGGTGCATTTAGTCCATTCACATTCAGGTTAATTATTGAAATATAAGAGTTCATCCCTATCATAGAGTTCTTATAGAGTTGTTGTTCTTCCACTTGGTTTTCTGTCTTTCTTTTGGTTTTGAGGTTCGTTCATGTGTATTTTATTCTTTTTTCTGTACTCTTGTGAAGAACGTTGTTCTTTTTTCCTTTTTTTCTGTGTTTAGTACTTTCTTAAGTGTTTCATGTAGAGCTAGTCTGGTGGCAGCGTAAGTTCTTAGGGACTGGATATCTGGGAGAGATTTTAATTCTCCCTCACTGATGAAGCTTAACTTGGCCAGGTAGGTTATTCTTGGTTGAAATTGTTTAT